TAGCTTATTATTAGACATACCAGCAATAAATTCATTTTGCTTATCTTCATCAGGATTAAACTTAATACAATTACCTGTGCGCCCTGTTGTAAACCTTGCAATACACTGGCCAGTTTCCGTATCCCATAGTTTCATCATACTATCATATGATGTACTTAGAAATTTTGTACCGTCATTAGAAAAACATATATCCTTGACAGTCTTGGTATGACCTGAGTATGAGCGTAAGAGTTCGCGTTTGTGGTAGCAGTCCCAAATTTTAATCTTAGCATCATGTCCCGAAGAAAGCAAAAGATGACCAGATTTGGGAAAAAATTTGAGCGCGGAAACGCCTCCAACATGGCCATGCCACGTGTGAATCTTCCTTTTGGGAATAAAACACTCTTGTTCGCCAGGAGTTTTGAGAAGATTTATGTCCAAATCCCGCGGAATATGCATATAAGAGCGACCCAGATAATCGTAAAGCTCTTTACCATAGAATTCGGTAGATTCTTGCATTTTGGTGGAGTTTCGGGTAGCGGGGGACTTTATGGGACGATTGGCCAAGATCTTGACATTTTCAGTTTCAGCCTCACTATCTCCTGAAGAAGATGACGAAGTGTCATTGTAAGAAGCCCATGGCCCTTTGTATGAGTTTTCGCCATCCAGCACAGAAGGATCGCCTTGCTTCTGCCGTTTAGACCTTAACTTAGCATTCAGCTTCTTACTTATTTTAACATCTGCTACAGAACGATAATCATTTAGCAAAGCCTTATCAGTATCACCCACTATTTTAGCAAGGCTGAGTTGGTTGTTATTCGAAGGATCTAGGGCATATCCCATAGTTTGGAACGTCCGTTGCTGCGTTTTAAATGTTATATCATCAAATGCTTGTTCTTCCGCATAGCCGGTTATAATATTCTTTTGCTTGAGAGAAGATGGTAAAGTATATGGATTTACAGGTCCAATGTCCGGTCTGCTAAGATCATCATAAGATACGTTGACGGCTAACTCTTTAGACGAAGCGGCCTTGATGAGCGCTGCTCTTGTGGAGTCTTCAAGAGACACATCAGGCGCTGGGTTCAGGAGCTTAACAGAGAACCCTATTGATGACTCTTCATCACTAGATGAGCCATAACCAGAAATTAATGACATTGATAAATACTTGGTTGTGTGTTGAATATTAGCTTAACGTTCATGATCTCTGTGATAACAGATAAATATCTTTGAGCCTTCTCAAGAAACAGGGTAACTCATGCACCTAAGGCACACTTAGCGTGAAGGGCTTTTTTTCCTTTTTTTGGACATATTGGAATAGCATAGAGACAATTTTGACTGTTCAAAAATTTTGTAAACGCAGTAAGGTATAATGGCTGGTAATGGAAATAATATCAAAGAGTCTTCTGATAGACTTGAGAAAAGAAAGATCGAAGATACCCGCAGTGATGACGAAGATTCTTATGATGAGGAAGAAGGCTCAGGCTACGAATATGCTGATGAATTAGTAAGTTTTACTCCAGAATAAGATCCTTATTAATTATAAAATTATATATTCGTTCAAATATGACTAACCATATTTTTCTCTTCTTTCAATTTAGGATGATGAAAGTTCTGATGACTCTGGAAGTGATATTGAAAAAAACGAAAATGGTGAAGATATCGTTAATGTTGACTTTGATTTTTTCGATTTTGAAGAAATTGATTACCATGCTGTCAACAATCTCTTGCGCCAATTACTGGACGCAGATGCACCTCTTTTTGAGCTTTCTGGTCTTGCTGATCTCATTTTGAAGCAAAAGGTTGGTACAACTATTAAGACAGATGGTAAAGAGAGCGACCCTTTTGCTATGTTGAGTGTTGTCAATATGAAACAGCATGCTGATTTGCCCGTGCTAACGAAGCTTAGAGATTACTTTATTGATAAAGTCAAGACTAATTTGGACTTTTACAAAAGATTAAGGAAGCTATTCACATCACAAAACAAGTCCTCTGTTGGTTTAGTTTTGAGTGAAAGACTTATCAATATGCCTGTTGAAGTTATTCCTCCTATGTACAAGATGTTACAAGAGGAACTTGACATCCAAGCCAAGGAGGACAATTCCTTTGATTTTGAATATTACCTCGTCTTATCCAAGGTTTTTACAGAGGAGATTTCTAAACTTGAGGACAGCGATAGTGATAGTGAAGACGAAAGGCCCAGAAAGAAGAAAGTCAAGCAAGCCTCAAGTGACCAAGAGTACCCCTTCCATACCGAAGATGATATTCTTCACACTAAAGCCACCTTCTACCATACATACACCTACGATAGAGAAGGTCAAGAAGCCGATTCCAAGAGAGCTTTTCAAGAGAACGGGATCCGCCCTAAAGGTCACCTTATGCTTATCAAGAAGGAAAAATTTGTGGAACTTATTGCTGATATGGAAAAGGCTTACCCCCCTTATTAGAAGGATATAGTTTATATCTGTTATTCTTGTTTAAACCTGTATTTCTAGTAGTTTCATTTAAATATTTATAAAAAAAACACATATTTGCTTTTCAATAGGGATGTCAGCAAATAGTTTATTCAGATATCTCGCGACTTTCACGTGATGCCGCACCCTTATCAATTGATGTTCGGCTGTCGCTCGCTGGAACGAACCTTCGTATAATTAGCCTGAAAACTATTGTATATTCAATCATTATTACAAAATAATTTGTATAATAAGTAATTGCCATTTATTTGTTTTTCTTAAAGAGCCTTGCATTCTCTACTCTTTTTTGGATCTATTCTTTAGAACAAACTTGGTCTGTTAAACACTATTGCGTAACTTTTCATTCGTTGCTCATTAAAGAAGATAAATATTTCGAATACTTTTGAATAGGAAGTAGTCTATAAAATCACTATATGTCAGCCATTGATTCGCCCTGGGTATCATCAATGTCTTCCCCACCTGACTTACCAAGCTCTACGAGCCCTAATCAGCATACATCTTCTGGTGCTTCCTCAAGTACAGTACCGACTTATGCTTCCTTCCCCGCAACTAGCGCCTCTCATCCTCAAAAAACTTCACCTCTACTTTCGTCCACTCCTCCATCGATAACAAAAGCATTATGCCAAATATACCCATACATTCTAGCTTTAGATAAGCTTCTTGGTCTTTTGACTTGGACTGAAGAGGATTCTTGGCAGAGTTTTCTAGTGGTGGCAACATGGATCATGCTTGTTCTCTACTATGAGATTCTGGTAGTTTATTTTGGTCATTTGATCTTTGTGGGAGGTATTGCTGGTTACGTATGGCTAAATAAACGCGTGGAGAAAGAAAGGGAAGAGCACCCTACTTTAGATGCCATTGTTCATGTCATGGGAAATGTTACTATGAAAATGGATATTCTCCTTTTACCTCTTACGTCCCTTAATTTAACTGAGCATGACGTTACCAGGCTATTATTCACTACTCTGTTTATATCACCGGTATATATGATAACATCTTATTTTTTCTTGGGCCCAAGGAAATTTTTATTAATATTGGGTGTGTTTTTGTTGTCTTACCACTCGCTATGGGCTAAGGTGACTAGGCAAATTCTGTGGAGGTCAAGATCAGTGAGAATTTTCTCTTTTTACTTGACTGGTTTAGATTTTACTTATAGTAAGAAATCAGCTCAGTCCAGCAAATCTCGTTCTGGTACCTTGGGCGTTCAGTCCAGCGATGGCCAGCCTGTTAGATTTACGTACTGTTTGTATGAAAACCAAAGAAGATGGCTTGGAATTGGCTGGACCCCTAATCTTTTGGCCTATGAAAGAACCCCTTGGACTGATGAGTTTCTTAATGAAACAAACCCCCCTGACACTTTCAGACTGCCTGATGCCGAAAGTTCTGGCATGAAATGGCAATGGGTAGATAAGACTTGGCGCTTAGATTTGACAAATGACGGTGCATTAGTTGCTACAGGATCTAAATCAGGTTCAACGGCTGATCCTAATCCTGATGATGGCTGGATATTTTATGATAATACATGGAAAAAGCCTTCCTCGGAGGACACTTACAGTAAGTACACTCGACGAAGACGTTGGGTACGTACCGCAGAATTGATGTCAATGAATGACTCGGCTCAATCTGCTTCTTCCCCTTCTTCAAGTCACGGAACTGTCAATATTTCATCATCAGTGGCCAATGATTTGAAAACTAGCGAAGCCAACGCCGCTGACTCTAGCTCTAAAATTAACGTTACCCATGGCTCCAGTGGAATTCCTACTTCTACAAGTACTTCATCTCGTAAACGAAGATCCATTAGATTTGATGATAGTGTTTCTGGTGATTCTGTTTGAGAAATCCTGATTAAGAATCCTGGTTTGTACCTTAGTTATACAAAATAGTTTATCTTCAACATGAAGTCTTTCTTCCTCTTCTTTGCTTTCGTTTTCGGTACCCGTCTGGATTTGTGTGAAGTAAATTATTCTTCAAGTTATTATTATATAGGCTTCAAATATACGCACCGTGAATATTTACCGTGTATGTTCCGGCGTTTTTATTCTTTTTTTACTGAGCAAGCTCTAATATCAGAGAAGTTGTTAAATGTCGGGGGTTCAAAAAACATTCCGGTCAATTCTTATGTCATAGTTGAATTTATCTTCAAAGTAATTTTCTTGGGGAATTTAAATGTGTGGAATTGTTATTTTCTGAATGTATTGTATCTTTACCTCGAAAAGATTTGTATCCTATATGTTTGTCGAAGCTTCTGTGTTACACAAACTGAGCCCTGATGCTTTTCGTACCTAGCGTACTCCGTTATAGGTGAACTCCTGCCTATTTTACTGGACGTCTGTCCACTTAGTATCACTATAATAGTACAAAAAGCTTATCAACCCAATAACAAAAATTGAAGATCTATCGAAGACGTTCAACTTACAAAGAATTAATAACTCACTGTACCTTTACATAGCACCTAACTAAAATCTCATATTCTTCGCTTGAAAACGGCTATCTGAAAAATATAAACCCAAAAATGACTTCATATTTCAAGAAACTCCGATGCTAAAAATAAGCCCAACGGGGGGGGTCGAACCCCCAACCTTGTGATGACTTCAATTCTTATTTCTAAGATTTTAGGAGTCACACGCTCTACCGATTGAGCTAGCTAGGCTTAAAAAATGATCTCTAGCGGAGTCGAACCGCTGATCCTTGCGTTATTAGCACAATGCCTTAACCAACTGGGCCAAGAGATCGGAATGTTAGTGGGCCCAACCGGGAATTGAACCCGGGACCTCTCGCATTCAGATATGGAAAACCCTAAGCGAGAATTATACCACTAAACCATCGGGCCAACTTGTTATTAACCTCTTTCGAAATTACACTATACGTTGGTTTGTATTTATTGGTTGATTCTTTAACATACTAGTTTTTTTTTTCATCGATTATTTTTTTAATATATCTTGGATTCGACTTGTTTTGAAAAAAGCCATAAAAAAGTTTTGAAGCAATTGATCCTTGATAGTTGTTGGTTACCGTTCCCGAGAAGCCTTTACTTATGTCCTACAGGGTTTATTTCAAATTGTCAAGGTAGATTTTTTTTTAAACGCCATTCAAGCTATTTAGTTTTAAATCCTTTTCCGTTTCATGACTTTTGAAAATTAAAGAACATATTTAACGCCAACTGATAACTGCCCTTTATCAAATGTATTGGTGAAATATATTTCGGTAAGAAACTGTATTACTAACTATTTCTTGTTATCATGGCTATAAAGGTTCAAATAATACGTTGTTTAATTTGAAAATGATTACAATCAATTCACAGTATTTCCAAAAAGGTAAAAGCTTCATCATAAATTATAATAAATAAACTAACAAGAACGATGGTGAGATATGTACAAATAAAATATCTGTAAAACCGGTATTTTTTTTATCTATCTTGGCCTTTTTCTTTAGTGTATAACCCTAACCTCAGATATATGGGATTTTCTGTTATTTTTTTCATCGTGAAGCTTGGTCCCAACTGAGAGGCGCTCTGCGAGATTACTACCTGCTTTGAAATAAGTCATTTTTTTTGTTTTTCTCGATCACCAACACTACATTTTTCGGGTTTAATATAAACTAGTATAAACCAGAAATGTCGACTACCGTTAAGCGATCTATTGAAACTAAATCGCTATCGATTTCGTCCAAGGTTTTTGTTCGTTCGTCTAAGAGTGGTAATGCTACCAAAATCGTGCGTGAGCAATACTTGAGAAATGACATTCCTTGTTCATCCAAGCTTTGTTTGATCTGTCCTCTTAACGTTCAAGCCGATGTTAATGGAGTTGTTAAGCCATTTGTGTTAAGTGAAGATCCTAATCGTACTAAGCAACTGGGTTCTCACTATATTGTTATCGATGCTAATATCGCCATTCAAGCCATCGATCTTTTAGAACATAAGGCTACCTTTTACGATATTATTGTGCCTCAAACTGTACTTGATGAAGTGCGCAATCGAAGTTTACCTATCTATGCCAGGTTAAGATCTTTAGTCAAGGATGAAGATAAGCGTTATTACATTTTCCACAATGAGTTTCGCCGGGATACGTTTGTTCAACGCCAACCTAAGGAGTCAATTAATGACCGTAATGACCGTGCCATTCGTCGTGTTTGCGCTTGGTACAAATCTCATTTAGAAGAATCCGTTTCTAATTCCGATAGACCTAACCTAAAGATCCTTAAGATCGTTTTAATTACTAATGATTTTGATAACAGAACCAAAGCCAAGGCTGAAGGTATTACTGCATTATCACTAAGGGAGTATATTGGCTCGTTACCTGATTCGGAAACCTTACTGGATATGATTCCTACCGAAGATCAACTCAATAACAAGCGTAAGGAGTTTTCCTTCCCCGAGCATTTCCCAATGTCTCGTCTTATGGGTGGTGTGAAAAATAAGACCTTATACCAAGGTGCCCTTAATACTAACCAATATAATTTTTTGGAAGCCACTGTTTCTACACCGGCTTATCCTAAGCCTCTATTAATTCTTGGCTTGGAAAATATCAACCGTGCCTTCAATGGTGATAGTGTTGTGGTCGAACTATTACCTCAAAGCGAATGGAAGCAACCCTCAACTCAGATCGTGGACGAAGAAGAACTAAGCAAAAATGATGATGCTACTAACGAAATTTCTTCAGTAATTACTGAACAAGAAAGGAAGATCTTGGGTCAAGAGGCTCTGGATGCACAGACCTCATCCGCCGAATTTAAAATTCAACCAACTGCTAAGGTTGTCGGCATAATTAAGCGTAGTTGGCGTTATTATGTTGGTCACATTGTACCTAACTCTACTACAAGTGATAAAACAAGCTCCACTAAGAGCGTGTTTGTACAATTAATGGATAGATGCTTACCTCGTATTCGTATTCGTACCCGTCAATCAGCCACTTTAGTCGGTAAGCGTATTGTAGTTGCTATTGACTCCTGGCCTGCCAACTCTCGTTATCCCGAAGGTCATTTTGTGCGTGCACTTGGTGAAATCGAAACTAAAGAAGCCGAAACTGAAGCCTTGTTACTGGAACATGATGTGGAATACCGTCCCTTTTCTAAAACCGTCTTGGACTGTTTGCCTAAGGAAGGTCACGATTGGAAGGTGCCTGAAAATTTGGACAATGGAGATGAGCAATTAAAAAAGCGCAAGGATTTGAGAGATTTGCTAGTATGCAGTATTGATCCTGTTGGCTGTCAAGATATCGATGATGCTTTACATGCTAAGATGCTGCCTAATGGCAATCACCAAGTCGGTGTTCATATTGCTGATGTGGGCCATTTTGTTAAAGCTAATACACCCTTAGATGATGAAGGTGCCTCCAGAGGTACTTCGGTTTATTTGGTTGATAAAAGAATCGATATGTTACCTATGTTACTAGGTACTGATCTTTGTTCACTGAAACCCTATGTGGAAAGATTCGCTTTTTCCGTGTTGTGGGAAATCACACCCGAAGGTGAAATCGTTAAAACTGATTTTACTAAATCGATTATCAGATCACGCGAAGCGTTTTCTTACGAACAGGCTCAAATTCGCATTGACGATGATTCACAACAGGATGAATTAACCCAAGGTATGCGCGTTCTCTTAAAAATTTCTAAAAAATTGAAGCAAGAACGTATTAATGCGGGTGCACTTAACTTAGCCTCCCCCGAAGTCAAAGTTCATATGGATAGTGAAACCAGTGACCCCGGTGATGTTGAAATCAAAAAACTATTGGATACAAATTCTTTAGTTGAAGAATTCATGTTGTTGGCCAATATCTCCGTCGCCAAGAAGATTTATGAATCTTTCCCTCAAACTGCCATGTTACGTCGTCACGGTTCACCTCCTGCGACTAATTTTGAAATTCTTAACGATCAGCTTAGAGTGAGAAAGAATATGACTGTTTCCTTAGAATCATCGCGAGCTCTTGCCGATTCACTTGATCGTTGTGTTGACGTGAAGGAGCCCTTTTTCAATACTCTGGTGCGTATTATGGCTACACGTTGTATGTTGGCGGCGGAGTACTTTTCTTCAGGCTCATATGCTTATCCTGAATTTCGTCATTATGGTTTAGCCAGTGAGATTTACACACATTTCACATCCCCAATTCGTCGTTACGCTGATATTGTGGCGCATCGCCAATTGGCGGCTGCCATTGGATATGAAACTTTGGCACAAAGTCATCGTGAAAAGGATAAGATGGAACGTATCTGTGGTAATATTAATAAGCGTCACCGAAATGCTCAATTTGCCGGTCGTGCCTCCATTGAGTACTATGTAGGTCAAGTACTTAAGGCCAGTGAATCTGAACAAGAAGGTTTCGTAATTAAGGTATTTTCTAACGGTATTGTGATTTTGGTGCCTAAATTCGGCGTTGAGGGTTTGATTCATATAGAGGACTTATGTGGGGATCCAACTAGTTCTGAGTTTGATGAATCCACTTACTGTCTTAACTTCACTGAGAAGTCCGGTACTAAACGCCAAATTGCCATCTTCGATAAGGTTAAGGTTTTTGTCAAATCCGAAAAGGATGAATCTACCGGTAGAAGAAAAGTCCGTATGTCTCTATTATCTTAGAAGATTTAAACTAATAGTTTTACAGTTTTTATTCCTTTGTTTTATTTTGTTTTGTATAATACATTTTATTGGTATCTAAAATCAGATAGATGTCTGGGACATGGCCATAAATTGCCAACATCATGTCAAGTAAACTATAGCGCTCATTGTTCTATATTAAATTGTATGTCTTCATTATGAAATACGTAGATCCAATAAAGGTTGCAGGGGATTCATCAGGAACTTGAAGTTGGATCGAAACCTAATTACTGTTTAATGTGCATTTATAAGTGTCATCGTAACGAAACTCGAGGATATTTCTGAGACATTAAAGTACTTAAATAACTATATATGGTAAATAGGCCCTGAACTATGATATTAATTTTCTATACAATACATTTAGATCATAGAAGGTTCTAACTTTCGAAAGAGATCAAGGGCCTCGTGGGTTTTCTGTCGAGTACAATATAAACCTTCAAAAAATAAATCAGAAAAGAAGAGAAAAAATATGCATCGTTGTACACCTTTAAACATGAGGAAAACTGTAACGCTATTATAATATAACACTAACTCTAAAAAAGAGATATGAGTTGAATAAATAAACAAATGTATTAATTTTTATCATATAGACATACATATTTTTGAGAGGCAGGCGTAAGCTAAGCTAAGTATAGACAAGCTGAAAAGAAGAAAAACTAATAAACTTCTAAGACATATCTACCCTCTTCCTTCAAAGTCTCAATCTCTCTTGCGACATTAGTAATCTTAACACCTCTTTCTTCGGCTTCAGTTTCAATAATTTCAGACAAGACTTGGGTCACATCAGGAACCGGCCAGGTAGGACCACACAAATAGAAGCCACCCTTTTCTTTAACAAAAGCACCAGTGAGCGCTGGCATAGTTTGACGAATTCTATCCTGAATATAAATCTTTTCAGGCTGATCTCTGGAAAAGGCGGCGCCGATGTGAGTAATGACTCCAGCAGCCTTGTAAGCTTCCCATAGTTCACCGTAAAGATATTCCTCACGTTGTGTACGGGATCCTAAATAGAGGTAAACTTCACCAATGGGAAGACCTTGAGCCTTCTGCCAAGCCTTTTC